TCAGAATGCAGGGCGGAGCTCCTCTCCAGCTGCTCCGGAGTCCAGCGGGACTTTCCTGCAGCCCTCCCAGCCGCTCGCTCTGCTGTGCCGGGGGAGGGGGAAATCCCGGACATTGTGAGTGCTTTACAAATTCCCTCCGGACGCTATTTTTAGCACAAAAAGGAGGACATGTCCGGGTAAATCCGGACGAATGGTAACCCTACATCTAGTAACCTCACTTATATTGCCGTTAAGGACAGAGGGCCTGATCCACATTTGCAGTAAGGCAGTGTAAAGGTGTGTACACTTTAAAGTGAGTGTAACTTAGACCCCTTTACATAGCCAGAACGGTGTAAATGTAAACATGAATCAGGCCCAGATAAACTTAAGCTTCTGAGTACAGCAGAATCCCCTTGCTTTACGGGGACTTTCCTCAGTATTTACGGGGACTTTCCTCAGTATTTCTATTCATCCCATTTTTCATACAAGAAATATAGCTACAAAAGGTCTTTGATGGCTTTTGCACTATCCACTGTTGTAGGAGCATCTGTTTTGGGGCTGGATCAGGAATAGTAAGGAGAAATGCATTAAGAGTTATCATTTAATATCTAATACATCATCGATTGGGGGACAAGATGTCTCCTTGGCAGGAGATATTGACACCAATATCTAAAAGCTCTTTTTCATCTTTGACTCCTATGATTGCCCCAAGACTCTATCACTTCATCTATCTATGGATGCTGACCCTAGAACTCTGTCACCATGGGCACTGTGTAGGTATTGATGTGTGGCGTGCCTCTGATGTTGATCTCATTCTTGTTCCAGGTGATGGCCCAGCAGCTGTTGGTGATCTTCAGTGGCTATTACATTAGACTCTTGATTAGTGGTCAGCTCCCTCAGGTCATCATGTTACGGCATGTGGAACACATGAATATTCCCTGCCTTTGCCAGTTCATAGAGATGAATGTGCTTGACACAGGACACTGTTGGTTCAGGACCAGGTGACGTGAGGGGCCTGGAAAGAGTTGTTGCAATTAATACTGTTCAAATACAGTGGTCCATGGAAGAAGCCAGGGCATAGGGAAGTCCCGGAGAGAGATACAACTGCATCAGGGATTTGTTTTGACCAATGAGAGGACAGTAATGAGGTGGAGGACATGACTTTAGTTAAATATTCAAAATCCCATTCAGAGACAATAAAAGAGACAGATACCTAACTGCCCAACCGCCCTCTTGAAAAGGAGCCAAATCTCATGCGAAGAAGTGAATTGTGCTGCTTATGACTTCCTTACTTCTCATCAGGTCTGTTGGCCATCCAATACAAATAGTTGCATTTAGTGTGTTTGTAATGAGCTATCAACTCATGCTGTGAACAGTGCAAGTAAGGATCATACCTGGATGATGCACAGCATGTAAAGTTCAGATTGTTGAATGTTTAATGCAAGGAACATGGCAAGATCATGGCTAGTTAAGTTTCCTCTTTTATGCCCCACTCATGTTCCTTTCATCATGCATGTGTGATCCTTGCATTTTTCCCAGCATAGGGAAATGACCTGGCTATTATCTTTATTTTCTTGCACAGACATGCTCTATTTTCTTTGGCTCTTGAGATCAGAGCATAACATCTCTCATGCTTGCTCCACGCCGGCAGAAACTCACAAACTCTTAGCATCCCATTTGTTCGGGACTTTTGTTGGTATTTGTTATTTTCTAGACACGGACACTGCACTCAGCACTATACAAAACACAGAAGATGTCACTACCTCTGACCTGGAGAATTGTTACCTTAGGAGCATGATCAGAAATGTCCCCCACGCCTTTGACTCTACCAGGAGTTAGGGGTGATGAACAACTTCCAGAAGGTGCTTTAAAAGACAGACAACACGGAACACACTACGAAATCTTAAGCAAAGTTCTTTATTGAGCATCTTTTCTACAGTTTTGGGACAGTATTTTTTTTTATGCTATCATTATTATTATTGTAAATGACATGGAAAAGGAATTAGTTTTAAGCAAGAGACCAAAGTATCTGCTTGTTACCGGGTTAATTTAATAAATGGCAAGTGAACGAAGTGCTTAAATTATGCACATAATTGTGTCCTGGAGTAATAACCACGAATGGGCAATCAACATACAAGTCAGACATGGCTCGTGCTTTCCATATGAATCCATCTGACAACTGCAGAGCCTATCATCTGGTTTCAGCAGGTAAATTTAAGGCTATAGTTCCATGGAGGAGTTGATCCAGTACAAATGGCAATGGGGATTTACATGACCTCACGACCATGACAGGCTGTATCTGTAAGATTGTAGTAGCTGCCTTAGGCACACAGATGTCCTAGTGACGATCAGGGTATATGGGGCTAGACAGACAGTTGTAATGATGTGCTCCTGCCCTGTTATTTCTAATTGTAAAGTCCCCTGAATAGCTTATTTCTGTCGATGAAACACATTCATTTGTAATTTGCCTCTCCATGGAGGCACTTAAAGATCTCATTTAAACCAAGTTCCACCTATTACATAGGAACATGGGAACTGCTAGACCACATCAGACTAGCGTGATCCAGCTCAGTATCTCATCACCGACAGGGGTCCCTACCAGACGTTTTTGATGAAGGGGCAAGAAAATTCATAGGGAACAGTTAAAAAATAACCTGCTCCCAGGAGAAATTCCGTCCTTACTCTCCTCGTTGGTGTATGCCCTGAAATGTGCGGTTTATGTCCCCTATAACCTTTTGTTAAATGAAGTGTGGAGGTTCACGCTATCCATGTAAGTGTCCAATCCTTTCTTTGAAGCCTTTTTTCTGCAGAGAAATCCTGGCTGCTCCGCAGTTTTTAACAATGACTTCAGCGAGCATTTCACCCCCTCTCCGGCCTCAATAGTTTCTCGTGGCAGGAAGTTCCGCATTGTTCTGAGCAAATCTTTTTCGTGAAACTCTTGCAACAGACCAGCGTATGGTAACAAAATAGAAAATGTTACCTCTTGTTGTCTTGACAGGGCACTAAACTGGGAGTCAGGATATTTTGGGGCTAATACTGGGTGAGCAACTGACCTCAGGCAAGTCACTTCCTCTCTCTGTACCTGTTCTAGGGTGGCTGGCCCTTAAAGGAAGCAGGTTCAGACCAGAACTGGTGCTCCCAATTTGGCTGATTAAGAGCCTGGGGCGGCACCAGAGGGAGAGTCAGAGAGGTAGGAAGTCCTTGAAGGGAGCTGTAAGAGGTTCCCGGGGCAGCGGGTGGTTAAAGAGCAGCAGAGGGGTTTATGGCTGACCTCCCCAAGCTGGAGAAGGCTGAAGGCAGTAGAGCAGCATAGGAACTTTCCTGCTGACTTCGAAGCCAGCAAGTTGAAGCTGCAGGGCTGAAGCCAGGGGAGCAGTGGAAGGGCTTCCTTGCCGGCCTGTCTGAGATGAGAGGTTAACAGAACTGTGGAGTGATGCTGTTCCCCTGGTGAGAAGGATGTCCCAGCAGAGAGGCTAGTGGTGGGGGTGGGGTTCCTGTTGGGAAGAAAAGGGGTTGCACTCCCGCTGGAAGGCTGCCCTAGAAAAAGGACAGGAGAGGACAGGTGAAGAGCCCAGGTGTGGTGGATGATGCCGGAATGTGGCACGTGCTATGCTGGTGAGCTAGATGTGATGGGATTTTAAAGACTATTTTCCTGGGATGGGGCATGAGGGAGTGATAAGTGGACTATGTTCTGGGACGTTTGTTAGGGATTATTTGCACTATGTTTTTGTAATAAAGTCCCCCTCCTCCCCCGGAGGGGGATTATTGAGGCAAGAGAGCCTGTCGTGGAGCCTTTTTGAGAGGGGAGTTGGGATGTAGCCCTGGTGCTGGAGCTCCCGGGTCCCAGGGGGCACCCAAGAATGAGGGGGAATCATTCACAGTACTGCTGAATCCCTCCCCTCCCAACTCCCCCGTCTGTCTTCTCTGTATAGGCTGTATGCAATTCAGGAGCACAGGCTATCTCTTACTATGTGTGCAAACACATGGTAAGACACCATGGGGCCGTAATCTGGGCTGGGACCTCCACGGCAACCGTAATACAACTAATAAATAATTCACTGTGTACTCCAAAGGAATAAATGCTCGCCAGTGGAACAACACCCAAAGGCCATAAATGTACAGCACGCCTGCTTTCATTCTGATTTTAGTCTTTATTGCTGGTTGAATTGTGGGTTTGTAGCACAGGAAGGATTCGGACTTGTTCATCTCCACACAAAGGAGTTTGTGAATCTGTCGTCATTGCTCACTGTGACAATACAGGGAGAACTTCCCAGAGGAAAGGAAATCGGATCACCGAGGGTCAGATCCATCCACGCATGCAAGGGGGGTATCTTCCCTCCATGGGCCAAATTCTGCTCTCTCTTACTTCAGTGTAGATCCAGAGTAACTTCATTGAAATCAATGGAGTTTCTCTGCTTTATGACCGTTTTAGAGACAATTTTTAGCCCTGAAGGCCAGATTCTGTTCTCTGTTACACTAGTGTAAATTCAGGGCTACTCTGGTCCAGATCCTCAGTTGGTGCAAATCAGCATAGCTCCAATCAGTGGAGCAATACTAATTTATACCAGATGAGGATCAGACTCTATTAACTTCAGTGAAGTTACTCTGAAGTTACACCAGTATACATGAGACCAGTATTTGGCCCTATATACGTATTGAATACGACTTTGGTTTGTTATTAGATTGAGAAGGGTAACATATTCTCCCTGGCCCCAGTACAGAGCATGGAGTGAGTTTTGCAGGCAGCAGTTCTAGCAGATGCTGAGTGTCGGACTTAATTTGTCTTTCATGCTGGGAAACCCTTGTGGCAAGGGGTTAATAAGGACAATTCATACTGTTATACAAATGTATAGAGAGTAAATGCAAGATGGATTGACTGGTGAACACACATTTCTGAGCCCTGGGGAACAGGAGCACCAGCAGACCAAGACCCTCGCGGAGTCAGTGAGAAAGAAGGCCAAGGGCTTCTAAGGAAGGCCCTGAGGCCATCTACCCTCAGGATCCGCAGGGCTGTTCAGGGCCGAGCATCTTGTTCCTAGTGACTGCGTCCGTCACTCGGGGAGGGGCTTCTGATACCACCGTGTTTACATCTGAAAACACAAGCGCAACGGAGGAAAGAGGAGGAATCAGCAATGGGGGAGTTAAAAGGCATATCATCGTCTGGACAAAGCTTCAACATCAGCTTGCCAGGAGGCTACGTTCCAAACCTTACAGCAGGAGATTGTAACACAGAACAGGGTAAAGCTGAGGCTATGTCTACGCTTAAAACACTACAGCTGCATACTGGCGGCGCTGCACCTGTGCCGCTGTAGCACTTCAGTGTAGACACAACAGTGCCGGGAGGGGTTCTCTCGTTGCTGTAGTTAATCTGCCTCCCCAAGAGGTAGTAGCTAGGTCCTCGGAAGAATTCTTCTATCGAACTAGTGCTGTCTACACAGGGACTTAGGTTGGCTGAACTCTGAGGGGT